AGTGTCTTCCAGTTCTGAGCCTTTGATATTCTATTAGATTAGGTCCCCACTTACTCTGGTTGTCTATGAGATGTATGGATTATACTTATACAGGACCCAAAGACATTTCTGTTCCTGAAGTTTTTAAGTGTTTCTTGGTAACAATGTCAGTTACAGATATGTCTAATTCTTCTGTACACCTATGACATAACAGACACACACACGCACACACACACACACACCTCAAAATATAAGTAATAATGAATGCAACGCAAAACTTGTAAACACTTCCAAACTCCTTGTTTAAAAAAAAAATAGTATAATCCTCTCAATTAGAATCTACCCCAGGGATGTTCAAGATTCCCCACTTGGATTATTATTCTTGGCTGTGTTTATGAAATTCTTCAGGGATAAAACTCCTAGTTTATTAGCCCAGATATAAATCCTTCTGGACGAGGTCTTTCTTTGATCATATTGTCCATATGAAAATATCCTTTCTTTCTCAGGTAGGAGTGATAACTCTGCAAAATTGCAGTCAGAAATTTATGTACCCATTGATTTCCTTTATTCAATTGTATTTCTTTTATAGTGTGACATTTTAAGGCTGGCTTCTTTGTGGGGCAGAAGAAAAAGGGATTTGAGAGTTTTACATAGAAATTAATAAGCCAGCTCCTGGAAGAAAGAACAAGAGAGTAAGAGACAGTAGATGTAGGTTCTGGGCCTATCTCTGCCATAGACTTTCTCAGTGTGAGACCTTCAACAAGATATATCCCTTCTCTGGGCTTCAGGTTTTTTTTCTTCTATGAAATAAGGTGGTTATGGTCACTGATGTCCCTGTAGTCTACAAAATTCTATGACTTTATAATATCTAAAGTTCTTTTTACTTTTAACATCTAATGAAATACCTTCCTATGAATAGAAATCAGGTTGAGTATAATTTATATTTCTTTTTTTATAAAATTATTAAAACAGTCTCATTCCTGTTCTTGTGTGTCAAAATAATGACAGTGTTTTACAATTCAAAAATTACTATCACTACAACAATTATATGAGGTAGATAGTGTAGTCATCATTATCTCCATTTCAAAGTTGAAACTGAGTCTCACAATGTTTAAATTCTTTGCTCATATAGAAGAGTGGGAAAATGCAGAAATTGAGTCATTGATTCATGTTTATGTTTCTGAAAGTGCCCAGTAACATAAAATATGAATAAAATACAGAGTAATATTTATTTGATAGAAGAAAAGGGGTTCAGTAATTGTGAACCCATTTCTCTGATTTTGACATTATCAAAAAGAATGAAGTAGTCTTTCAAAAATAAACGGTGAGCTTCAAGATAAAAATAACAAAGAAAAATTGTGGTAGGGTCAAACAGGAGTTCTAAGGTGGGGTTGGAAGGTCAGAGTATGTAAGAATGAAGGTGACACAAAGAAAGAATCGAAGAACAACTGGATACTTGGAGTTAAGTAAGAGGCATGAGTAAGAGGTCTTCCTACATAGTGAGTAGCTGGACAGGTCAATTCAGGAGGATGCAGGTAAATTTACTCCAGTCAGTTTAGTGTAGATCCCCAGGTAAGCACCATCAGGAAGTGCTTGTTCAGTAATGATTAGATAAAAAAAGAAATGAATGGTAATTGGTGAGTGTTTGCTGCATGGTAATAAATTGGATATTTTTCAAAGTAGTATAAGTTATAGAGAAGGTTGAGGTCTTTTTGATGAAAATATATGGTAAATGATTGATCCTTTTCCCAGATTTGGTAAATTTGATGACCACAACATCCTCTAGGTTTTGGAATTATAGATTGAGAAATAGTAAGGATGATAGAGGTTGGTGATTCATATGGTGAGTAAAGATACCTCCAAAAGCGTAGCTAGGGATTACAAATTTCTGGGCAGACTAAAAACTTTAGGAGCATAGGTGCTGTTTTAATTGTTACTGCTTAATAAGGGTAAAGACTTCAAAACAGAAAGCTGATGTGGGGAATCAACATCTGATTGAGAAGATGATGAGACTATTATAATACACTTCTGGGAATTTTATAGGGGGTGAAAGAACAAGGAGGTAAGAAAATTATAACAATAAAATGAAACTAGGTTCTATTATAACATGTTGGCTAAACAAGCTGAAATAAACAAAAATTGCAGATGCTTAGGGTACAGTTGCCAGTTGAACGTAGAGGATTCACAAGACAAAGACAGATTTGAAAAATAAACAGTTTTCTGGGAATCATCTTCCCTAAATATAGGAATGATCAGCTCGTGGCTGGGGATGAAACCTAAGAAGAGGAAGAATAAGGTATTTTGCTAGAGACTTAAGAAATGAGTGGACAGCTTTTAATTGAGAAGGGGAAAAATAAATCAAATAGTCAATGTAGCTCTGAATAGTCTGGCACCTTAGAGAATAATACAATAAAGACAGTACAATCTACAAGGGCAGCTAGGCGGCGCCACAGAGCACAGAGTGCCAAGCCTCCAGTCAGAAAGATTTCATCTTCGTGAGTTCAAATTTGGCTTCAGACACTGACTAGCTATGTGACCCTGGGCAAGTCATTTAACTCTGTTTGCCTCAGTTTCTCATCTATAAAATAAGTGGAGGAGGAAACAACAAACCATTCCAATATCTTTGCCAAGAAAATCCCAAATGGGGTCATGAAGTATCAGACCTGACTGAAAAATGACTGAACAACAACCTGCAGGAAAAACGGTAGAAAAGAAGACAACATCAAACAAAATAGCTAGAGCTAAAGGCTTCATATATTTGTATATACATGCTGAAAGTACAGTCAATAAATGAGGTGAATTAGAGATCCTAAAGCAACCAGGTAAATCTGACCTCATAGGTAGCAGTGGAGTTTAGAGATATGGGTCTCATGACTTGAATTCGTTACATATATATATATATATATATATATGTATATATATATATACACACACACATATATATATATATATAATTTTTTAAAAAAGGAAATAGATTAAATGGGGGTGGGAGGTGGGGAGAGGGAAGCAAGTAGATTACACATGTACTTCTAGGAAACTAAGGTGGAAAACATGGTGGATATTAATAGATGAGAGCGACTGAGGTAGAAACAATACTGCTCTAAAGGTTTAGTACAGATCACCTGGACATAAGGAAGAATTAGACAGGAGTTTGGGAAACAGATGGCAACATCAGCATATAAGCACATGATAGTATAGTGAGGGGAGACTTGGACTATCCAGAAATCAGTTGGCATCTGGGGAGAACATCATCTTGAAAATATAGGACACATATTTACCAAGGAGTTTGGCCAAGGCTCTCATGCTATGTTTATAAATGAGATGGAAAGGGATCAACTAAATTATAATAGTTTAATGTAAATGGAACTAGTTAAATAGCAGGACCCAAAGAGCAATCATTAATAAGTCAAATTAAGTTCAGGGAACAATTACAACAGAGTTCTTAGGAATTTGTCTTTGGCTCTGTGCTATTAACACTTTTGACAATGCTTTGAATGAAGGCATAGAGGCATGTCTGGCAGATTTGCAAATATTACAAAGTTTGAAGGGATAGCTAATATACTGAGAGAAAGTCCACAACTCAACATTTCTTAACAGGCGAAAATGATGGGTTGAGTACACTAAGAGTACATTTCATAGGGTGCAATGCAAGATTCCATATTTTAGTTCAAAAGTGAAACTTCACATTTATAGAATGACAAAAGGTTAGAGTTGGAAGGGATGTCAGGGGTCATCTAATAAATGTCCTTAACTTGGGGTGTACAGACATCCCCATGTGGATAAATTTCAGGAGGTTTTATGAGATGGAAAAGGAAAAAAAATAAGCATGATCAATTTTCTCTGTAATCCTATGTATTTTATTGTATGTATTTAAGAACATGATTCTGAGGAGGGGTCTATAAGCCTCACCAAATTGTAAAGGTATCCATGACACAAAAAAAAGATGAAGAAGCCCTGATTCAATTTAAAGTTGCCTGAAGAAAATGTCCTCTACAATATACCAACAGGTGGTCATCAAATTAGGCTTCAAGACTTTTAGTGAGAGGTAATCAGTGCAATAGATAGAGTCAGGAAAGCTGATCTTCCTGAGCTCAAAGCTAGCCTCATACACTTACTAGCTGCGTCACCTTGGGGCAAGTCACTCAATCTTGTTTGCCTCACTTTCTTCATTTGTAAAAATGAGCTGAAGGGGAAAATGGAAAATCATTCTAGTACCTTACCCAAGAAAAACCCCAAATGGGGTCACAAAAGAGTTGGACACAACAGAAAATGAGTGAACAACAACAATCCTAATCCATTAGACATATGTATGTATATGTGTATATATATATATATATATGTGTGTGTGTGTGTGTATAGATAGATACATACATAGATACATAGATATAGATACAGATATAGATCTATAGATCTATAGATTTAGATCTAGATCTATATATGGGGGGGAGGAGAGGGAGAGAGAGTGTGTAAATAAAATGGAAAGGGAAAGGGAGGGAGAAAAAAAAGAATCAAAGAAAGGACAGCATTAAATAATAACATCTGATATTTCTGTAGTGCTTGAAGTTTTGCAAATTGTCAGTCTTCTCTTATTTGAGATTCAGAAGTGCCACACAAGAGAAGAAGAACAGAATTTGCCATCTTCATTTTACAGATGTGGAAACAGAAGCTTGGGGGAATTAAATGGCATGGCTTTGTTTACACAACTACTTTGGTTCCAGAGGTGGGTTACACACCCAGGTCATGCTGCCTCTTAAGTCCAGCACTCTATCAATTGTCTCTTGATGCCTCCAATTGTTAGGAGGTACTACCCCAAGCTGTTTTGTTTACCCAAGGAGGTGCTTTGTGTGGAAATAAAAGAAATAAAAGCACAAGAAGAGGGAAAAATGAGAGGAAGAGAATGGAAGGCATCTACTTTTCAAAAAAATATATACTTTTATCTAAAAATAACTCAATGTGCTTATTGTCCATATTTAATGACCCTTCTATATTAGCAGGTACAAAGCCAAGGAGTGTGGATCTCATATGAGGAAGTGATGAATGGGAATGTCACTGCAAGTCTTGAATTCATTCTCCTGGGACTAACCCATCGCCTAGAGCTTCAGGTCCTATTCTTTACCCTCTTTCTAACCATCTACATCATCACTGTGGTGGGGAACCTGGGAATGATGGTATTAGTGAGAATCACTCCCCGGCTTCACACACCCATGTATTTTTTCCTGAGTCACTTATCTTTTGTGGACCTCTGCTTCTCTTCCAATGTGACTCCTAAGATGCTGGAGACTCTCATGGTGGAAAAGGCCACCATATCCTACTCAGCCTGTTTGGTGCAATGTTACCTTTTCATTACTTTGGCACATGTGGAAATCTACATCCTGGCTGTGATGGCCTTTGACCGTTACATGGCCATCTGTAATCCTCTGCTCTATGGCAGCAAGATGTCCCCAATTGTCTGCACCTCTCTCATCTCAGTGCCCTATGTCTATGGCTCCCTCACGGGCCTCATGGAGACCATGTGGACCTATAGCTTATCATTCTGTGGCCCCAATAAGATTAACCATTTCTACTGTGCTGACCCTCCCCTCATTAAACTAGCTTGTTCTAGTACTTACAGAAAAGAAACATCAATGTTTGTTGTTGCTGGGTTTAACCTCACCTTTTCCCTGCTCATCATTCTCATCTCCTATCTGTATATCTTCCCAGCTATCTTCAGGCTTCGCTCTGCAGACAGCAGGCACAAAGCCTTCTCCACCTGTGGGTCCCATCTGACAGCTGTCACTATATTCTATGCAACTCTCTTCTTCATGTACCTGACACCACCCTCTGAGAAGTCTGTGGAACAGGGGAAAATGGTGGCCGTGTTTTATACCACAGTGATCCCTATGTTGAACGCTATGATATACAGCTTAAGGAACAAAGATGTTAAAGAAGCCTTAAGCAAAGAACTCTTCAGAAAAGAACTTTCTAAACAAATCTCAGTGTTCAATTGTCTAAAATAATTCACCATTCTTTAAACTCTGTGGGCTTGGAAATGTTTATCACTTTTCTTGCACTGGCAATTTGGGCCAGTTTACATGTCCCAGAGATTAGGCCCGACCAGCACTATTGCTGGTTGTGATGTTCTTCCTTTCCAGGCACAAAGAAATTCCAGGTTAGTGATTGTTTTAATAACCAGGTGGAAAGAAGCATTGTTTAATAGCATCAGAATTAGGATCAGTAGCGGAAGACCTGGGTTCACATCCTGCTTTCAAGACTCACAAACTCGGGCAAATCATGTCCTCTCCCTGGGCTTTGACCTTCATGTATATGATCTGAGTAGGCTGAAGTAGATGAGTATTAAGGTCCTTTTCAGCTCTGAATTATATGTTCTCTAAAGAAAAGTGTCTGTTACGTAGATATGTGTTGGGTAATTGCTATTTTTTGGAACTCTCTCCCCCAAATGATTGAAGAAACAGTTGTAGAGGATTAGATTCAAAAAAGGACTTAGATCATACAGTTCTTTGCTCTCCCTGTTTTAATGGGAGGAAAGTGAATTCTAGAGAGGGGAAGACACCTGAGTAAAGTCATACAGAAGTTGATTAACAGTTTGAAGGATCCTGGAGGTTCATTAACCCACTGTCCTTTTCGATAGTATCACAAGCCTTGCTTTTAAAAAACCAGCAAACATAATGACATCAGTGCATAATCTCTTCTTCCGCTGACAGAAGGACCAAGAGGATGTATAGGTAGCAAGATGTCGAGAGAAAAAGAAAGAGAGAGGGGAGGGAGAAGGAGAGAATAGGAGAGAGATGGGGGAGGGTTAGAGAGAGAAGGGGGGGTGGAGAAAGAAAAAAAGAAACAAAGAAAGACAGACAGACAGACAGAAAGAAAGAAAGGAGGAAAGACAGAAAGAAAGAAAGAAAGAAAGAAAGAAAGAAAGAAAGAAAGAAAGAAAGAAGAAAGAAAGAAGGAAAGAAAGATCATTGACATTTATATAACTATTCCAAGTTGATAAATTGCTTCATATTATCACATGGACAATTACCAAATAATCAAAGACAAGATTTGAATCCTGGTCTTCCTAACTCACACATTATGCTATACTACTTCAAGGAAAGAAAGGAGAAAGGAAATAAGGGCAGGAGGGAGAGAAGAAGGGAAACAGTTTTATCTGGAAGACTTTGGTCCCCACAGTAGCAAGACTGTGCTTTTTCTGAGTTATCCACATAAATATGGTTGAAATCAGAGTGTGCCTCTAGCCCTTGGGGACTCTGAAGATGTGCAGGGATATTTGCCTCTGTATTGAGGGCTGCTATTGATTTCTTGACTCCATGAAGCCAGCTCTCTTCTCTGAGGCCTCCTTAGGGTGTCAGCTCTTAAATGTTGCTCTCTGCAACTTCTAACACCCATTGGTCCAGCAAGAGTCTGCTGCTTTCAAGTTTTTACTGGAATGAAAGCTGGAAACATAGCTTTTTGTGTTTGCCTTTGTATATTCCGTGCAATCACTAGAAATTGTTGTGCGTGGGACAAGGCGCACTAATGTTCCTGATGCAGGTGACAGGAGGGGATGGGAGACTGCGGGGAGAGGAAGATCTGAATACTGGCCGACAACCTGCTGTTGGAGGGATTTCTGTCAGGAGCTGGGGGGAGAGGAGCAAGTTGGAGGAGGAGCCTATCAGAGCCCATCAGCTGGTAACCTCCTACTGGTCCCTTTTTTCTCCTATACTAGGTACTTGGCTTTTGTAGCCAGTATTAGACAGTAACAGTACTCCTTTCCTTATCATACATGACTTAGCCAATCCAGCATATATTTAGTACTTTTGTTCTTTATATGTACTTACAATATTTTCATTTTGTTAGGAATGGTTCATTTCTCTTTTTTTTCTTTAATTTTTAATATGTGCAATAAAAGAAGCATTTCCATAAAATAGTACAATAAAAAAAATGATTGCACATGAAACTACAAACCTACCATGCACAACTTGCTATTCCTTTCAAATATACAACATTATCATGTAAATTTTTTTCCGTTTATTTTCCTCCTTACCTCCTCCCTGGAGATGCTACACAAATACATATACATATACATATACATACATATATATGTATAATTGTTCTATATCTACTTCTATTTATCAGTTCTTTCTCTACATACAGATAGCGTATTTCTTCATATGTCCTTTATAATTAATTTGGCTATTTATAATAGTCAAAATAAGTCATTTGTTCAAAGTCATTCATAAAACAATTTTGGTGTTACTGTATACAGTGTTCTCTTGGTTCTGTTCATTTCACTCTTCATTATTTTGGACAAATCTAATTCTCAAATCATTGAGCTCATCGTTTCTTATAGCAGAGTAGTATTCAGTTATAATGATGTTCCACAACTTATTCAGCCATTCCCCAACTGATAGGCATCTCTTGCAATTTCCAGTTCTTTGCCACTACAAGAAGATCTGCTATAAACATTTTAAAACATCTAAGTTCTTTGTCTTTTTCTCAAATCATCTTTGGATTTTTAGTTCTCGTTTCCAAAAATAATTTCATATGAATGAGTGAGGTTAAAAGACAATCTTCCTACTAAGGAAAGGGCTTTTCATAGGAACCTAAATTCTAGATAGAAGGCACTACATCAGAGATTGTCAACATGTGGTTCAAAGACCTCTGGTATGTACCCAAGACTCTTTCGAGAGGTCTACAAGGGCAAAACTCTTTTCATAATTACATGAAAACATTTTAATTTCTAATATAATAAATATCAAAAGACATAACTCATAAAACAAAAGCGCTCTCTTGAACCTTCAATAACTTGTGTCTGTTTTTTTAGGCAATTGGGGTTAAGTGACTTGCCCAGTGTCACACAACTAGTATGTATCAAGTGGTTGGTGTGAGGTCAAATTTGAACTCAGGTCCTCCTGACTTCAGGGCCGGTGCTCTATCCACTGCACCACCTAGCTGCCCCAATAATTTTTAAGAGTGTAAGGATTTACAGTGTGAGTAAACACAATGGACCACTAGATATTTTTTTTCTGATCCCCACAATTTATCAGACCTCTCCAAAACAGAAATTATGTGCCAAGGATAAAACAACTTCAGCTGCTCCCATGTCTAGGATGCTCGCTGACCCTGAGTTCACTCAGCAACCCTCACCACCTCCCAGTTTTGGCAGTAAGGCTGTGCTGATAAACACAAAGACAAAAAACAGGCTTACATCAAAACATCTCCACCCTGTTATTCCCCTTCTTCTTTCCAGTGCCAGCTCATTTTATAGATGAGGAAGCTAAAACATACAGGGTTAAGTGATTTGCCCCGGGTCACATGGCTAGTAAGTGTCTGAGGTGAGATTTGAACTCAAGAAGATAAGTTTTCTTGAATGCTGTTAGTAACAGCCAAGGGCTAGAATTCAGTGTAAGGCATATCTGCCCTGACTCTAATCCAAAGGGATTTAGTCATTGGAGAAGCTCAAAAGGCAGCATGCTTCATTGACACATCAAATACATAGAAGCTGATCCCTTGGGGCAGACATGGGAATTGGCAAAATGTGTAGACAGCTGAACCAAGTTAATAAAACATAATGTAAAAGAACATCGAGCGTCTTTGGATGACTTCATTTCAGGTTCAAAATATGACATTTACTAGTTGAGTGCCTTGAGACCAATGACTTCACCTCGTGGCTTCAATCCATCTCATTGCAAAATGAAAGGATTGGACTCAATGATCCCCAAGGCCCTTCCATCTCTGACACTTCATATTCTGTATCTATTCTAACATGCTTGCCTACTCTGACATTCTGTGTTCTATAGTCTAAAGTGTCTGTCAGTTTTGAGACTCTGGTAGTCTACGATATTAGGTCACTTCTTACTCTGGACGTCTATGAAATGTATGGATTATACAAGACTCATATACCCAGACCAAAAGACACTAAGAAAGGATTGCTCTGCTGTTCCTGGAGTTTTTAGTGTTTCTCTAGGACAATACCAGTTGCAGATATGTCTTATTCCCTTGAACACCCGTGACAAAACACACACCTTAACATGATGTAAATGTTGGCTTTCATTTTCAAAGAGGACTAATGACATCATAGTGAATGGAAAGCAAAATTTGGCAACATTTCTAAATCCCTTGTTTGAAAACAGGAAGTGTAATCCTCTCAATTAGTTTGTCACCCCAGGGTGTATAAGATTCCCCAGTTGGATTACTCTTCTTGGGTGTTTTCTATGAAATTCTTCAGGGATAAAATTCCTCATTATCAGTCTTGGTATAAATTCTCCTGGAGCAGATACAGAGCTTGTTGTCACTATGAGAATGCCTTTTCTTTCACAGGTAGGACCCACAATTCTGAATAATCCAGTCATAAATTTATATACCCAGGTTTTTTTTCTTTTTTTTTTTTTCATTAAATTGTCTTTCTTTTACACTGTGGCATTTTAATGCTGGAGTTTGGGGAAAGGAGGGAGGAAAAAAAGGGATTTGGAAGTTTTGCATGGAAAATGATAGCCCAGCTCTTAGAAGAAATAGCAATATATTAAGAGACAGGACATTTAGACTCTAGCCCTGTCTTTGCTACTGACTCCTCACTCAATTTCCTCCTTTGTGAAATATGGAAGTTTTGACACTAATGTTCCTTCAGGCTATAAAATTCTATGACTCTACAATCTCTGAGGTTTTTTCTACCTGTAAGATTCAATGAAATACCTTTTTATCAATGGAAATCAGACTGATTATTTGTTTTTTAATATTTTATTTTCTATAAAGTTATGAAAATAATTCTCATTGTTTTCTTTTGTATAATAATAATTATAATACTTTGCAATTTACAAATGATTATTTCTGCAGCAATTACATAAGGGAGATATTGTAGCTGCCATTATCACCATTTTATATGTGTTGGAACTGAGTTCCATAGTGTTATGGTAAAGTTTACTTAAACAGAAGGAAAATTTGATGAGGATTTTTGGAAATAGATGGCAATACTATTTGGGAAATAGATAAGCACGCAGGAATGTGTAGTAATTGGAAGATTTAACTCTCCAAACATCTGTTGGCATTCTCTTTTTACCAACGTCAGGGGAGCTGATAACTGTACATCTTGTCTTATGTATAATTTCATGCTTCAGAAGATAGAAGTGTCAAATAAAATTGAGACACGATTCTAATTAATCAGAAATTGCTTGGTGAATAAAAATGGCAAGAGCCATCAGGAATAAATGATTCTGTTATCAAAAATTTGGATGTTAGAGAAGGAGAAAGCCATGAATATGCACTTTAGGTTTCAGATATAAAGTGGTTTAGAGAAAGAATAGTTATCATTCGATGGCCTAATATTTTGAGGAGGGAAGTCTGCCCCTTCACTGTCTGTAAAGTTCTCAGAAATGAAGTTCTGAAGATAGAAGCAGAAAGAGACTAATATAAATGTACAGAGAATTCACTCTTAAATTAATATTCTAAAAAGACACATATTCAGGAGGGGAAAAAAAGGCAAATACCAGAGATCAATATAAAGCAGTGGCACAGTCCAGTAAGAATTCTGTCAAAAACACTAAAACCCAGGGGTGCGGGGGTGGGGGGGTGGCGTTGAGGGTGGCACTAAATATAGGAACCAAAAAAAAGTTTTTGTTTATTTGTTATTTGTTTTTTCCACAATGTTAGCTACAGGAGGGGGATCAAAGATGGGATGAGAATGTTAAAGGCTAAAATATTCAATTCTTAATTTGCTTCTGTTTTCTCTTCCATGCAAAATGACTTTTAAATGAGGAAGCATATAATAAAAGTAGTTCAGAGGGAGTAGAAACCTAAGGTGATTAGGGCAGCCTCTAGTTGATCTCAATGAATTAAACTTTTCAGCTCAAATGAATTAAATCCTAGGATACTTAAGGAACTTGTAAAAGTAATTGCAATGTCAATGTAAATGATCTTTAAATTATTTTTTTTCTGGAAGCAGGGATCATGAAGCTGAAAAAAGACAGTGAGTTCCCAATTTCATTTTTTCAAGAGTATATTTTGCAGTCTATAGAAAAGTGAACTTTTTTTTTAATTCCTAACAAAATTTTGGAGTGCAATATTAACAGTATAGTTTGTAAGCAGTTAGAATTAGAAACAATGATTACTGCACCAAGAATAGCTTCCTCAAGAAAAGGCCTTACCAATTATTTATTTACCAAAGTGAATAAAATGGCAGAATTTAATCAACCAATCAGTGTCTATTAAGAAGCTGGTCTGGGGCCAGATAGGTGGCACAGTGTATCAAGCACTGGCCCTGGATTCAGGAGGACCTGAGTTCAAATCTGACCTCAGACACATAACATTTACTAGCTGTGTGACCCTGGGCAAGTCACTTAACCCCATTGCCTAGCAAAAAAAAAAAAAAAAAAAGAACCTGGTCTGTTCTACTCTTACTATTCACAGTACTAGGTGATGTGGATATAAATAGAAAGAAAATTTTAAAAATCCCTACTCAAGGAGCATTCACATTCAGATAGGGTTTGAAGCACTACATTTACTGTAAAAATAAGTGTCCCAAAAGTTTTACTGCAATTTTAAGATTTTCAAAGCTTTAAAGTACACTAAAATTTCTGGGAGACCTTGTAATACAACTCAAGTATGATATTAATAAATACAAATGTATAAACAAAGTAGTTCCAATACCTGGGAGTCCTGGAGGGAGGCTACTAACAGCTGGAGAAGTCGAGAATATCTTCATGAAGAACAGGATTTCTGGACTGATTATATATATCTATATATATATAGATAGATATAGATATAGATAAATATATATATATATAGCTATATATATAGATATATATAGATATAGATATACATATATATATATATATATTTTTTTTGCTAGGCAATGGAGTTAAGTGACTTACCAGAGTCACACAGCTAAGTAGGTGTCAAGGGTCTGAAGCTGGATTTGAACTCTGAATCTGGATTTGAACTCAGGTCCTCTTGACCTGAGGAAGACCTCGATGAGGGAAGGCAAAGAGAAAATACATTCCAGGCATGGGGGATTGCTAGTGTAAAAGCACTGGCAATAAGAGGGGAAGAGAGAGGTTTATAAGGGAAGAAAAGAGAAAAAGCTGTCCTGGAGGCATAAGATACTTACATTTAAGCAAAGAATATGACCAAGTCTCTCATGCTATGCTTGTGAATGAGACGAAAACAGACCAACTAAATTATAAAAGCTAATCGGTGCAGGGGATAGAGCACCTGGCCTGGACTAACGAAGACTCATCTTTGAGAGTTTAAAGCTGGCCTCGGATACTTCCTAGCTGTGTGACCATGGGCAAGTCACTTAACTTTGTTTGCCGCAGTTTCCTCATCTGTAAAATAAGCTAGAGAAAGAAATGGCCAACTACTCCAGTATCTTTTTGCCAAGAAAATATCAAATGGGGTCAGGAAGAGTAGGAGTAACTCAAACAACTGAATAAGAATAACAACAAAAAGCTGATTCAACTAGTTGATTGCCTGAACCCAAGCAGCAATCCTTAATTAGTCAAAAGCAGTTTCAGGTGGGTAGTTATAATGGCGTTCTCAGAATTTGTCTTTGGCTCTGTGCTGTTAAATGCTTTTACCAATTCTTTGCGTCGGGGAATAAAGGCTGTGTCACAGATTTTCAAACAGCACAAAACTTGGAAAGAGAGAGAAAAGGCTGAGAGACAGAGCTCAGATCCCAAAATTTCTCAATAGGCAAGAATAATGACTTGAATATACTCAAGATGATATTTCACAGGGAACAATTCAAAGTTCTATACTTCAGATAAAAAAAAAATCCAACTTCATGTGTACAGAATGAGAAAGAATCAGATTGGGAAACAATGTCATGTGCTTTCTATGAGTCTTTCATAATGGGGTCCACAGACCTGAGGAATCCATGAATGGATTTCAGGGGGCCTCTAAATGTGGATTGGAAAAATAATAATTAATTATAATTTGTTTCCTTTGAAGTTCTTTGTAAGATCATCTTGGGGAAATTAAATGACTTGCCTATGTTCACGCAGTTAGTGGGCTATGCACCCAGATGATCCTGACTCATGTCCAATGCTCTATATGAATTACCCCTAGCTGCTTCTCACTGTTAGAATCTGCTGCCACCAGCTGCCTTGTTTATCCAAGGAGGTATTTTGAGCAGAAGTAAGGGAAATAAAAGCATAGAAATAGAGAACATTAGGAGGAAGAAAAGGGAAGGCATCTACTTAAAAAAAAAGTTTTCTCTCTTATTTATATTACTTTCTACATTTAATGACCTCTATATATTAGGAAATAAGGAGCCAAGCAGCACGGAGCTCAACTGGAGAAGTGATGAGTGGGAATGTGACCGTAAAGCCCCAGTTTATTCTCCTGGGACTAACCCATCGCCTGGAGCTTCAGGTCCTATTCTTTACCCTCTTTCTAACCATCTACATCATCACTGTGGTGGGGAACCTGGGGATGGTTGTATTAGTGAGAATCACTCCCCGGCTTCACACACCCATGTATTTTTTCCTGAGTCACTTATCTTTTGCGGACCTCTGTTTCTCTTCCAATGTGAGTCCTAAGATGCTGGAGACTCTCATAGTGGAAAAGGCCACCATATCCTACTCAGCCTGTTTGGTGCAATGTTACCTTTTCATTGCTCTGGTCCATGTGGAAATCTACATCCTGGCTGTGATGGCCTTTGACCGCTACATGGCCATCTGTAATCCTCTGCTCTATGGCAGCAAGATGTCCCCAACTGTCTGCACATCTCTCATCTCAGTGCCCTATGTCTATGGCTCCCTCACGGGCCTCATGGAGACCATGTGGACCTATAGCTTATCATTCTGTGGCCCCAATAAGATTAACCATTTCTACTGTGCTGACCCTCCCCTCATTAAACTAGCTTGTTCTAGTACTTACAGAAAAGAAACATCAATGTTTGTTGTTGCTGGGTTTAACCTCACCTTTTCCCTGCTCATCATTCTCATCTCCTATCTATACATTTTCCCAGCTATCTTCAGGCTTCGCTCTGCAGACAGCAGGCGCAAAGCCTTCTCCACCTGTGGGTCCCATCTGACAGCTGTCATGATATTCTATGCCACTCTCTTCTTCATGTACCTGACACCACCCTCTGAGAAGTCTGTGGAACAGGGGAAAATGGTGGCCGTGTTTTATACCACAGTGATCCCTATGTTGAATCCTATGATATACAGCTTAAGGAACAAAGATGTTAAAGAAGCCTTAAGTAAAGAACTCTTCAGAAAAGAACTTTCTAAACAAATCTCAGTGTTCAATTGTCTAAAATAATTCACCATTTTGTAAGCTACTATTGTGAGTAAAGCTTCAAAACTGTTTCCCTTACTTTTTCTTGTCTTTCTTTCTTTTTTTTTTTTTTTTTGCTTTGTATGACAATGATTTATATCTATTTGGCAGCTGGCAAATTAGATCTTTTTTTCTGGTTGTGGTTTACAAATTAATCATGACAATAAAATAAAATTTTGAATTGTAAAATTCAATCAGGTATTCTAAAGTACAGATTAGACTTATTAATATGAATACTATTAAATTACTTTTATTTCTATATTTTTTCCTATTCTTATGTATGTGTATTGTATCTCTACAAAACAGAAGATCCTGGAAGGCAGAGACTTCGATTTTTGTCTTCATATGCCCAGTAACCAGCAAAAATTCTGGCACGTAGAAGGCATTTAATAAATGCTTGGCAAAACATTGTAAAGACAAACAATTTTGAAAGACTTAAGAATTCTGATCCACACAATGGCCAATCGTGACTCAAGAGGATCCATGATGAAACATGTTGCTCACCTTCTAATAGACATGAGATAGAAGTAGGGTATAGAAGGAGATACATTTTTGGATGCAATTGACATGGAGATCTGTTTGGTTTTACTATTCATATTTGTCACAAGGATTTTCTTTTTCTTTCTTTTTTTTTCTTTTCGAGGGGGTGAGGGACATGGTAGGGAGAAAAAAATTTTGATTGAAAAATATATTCTTATTAATTAATGATTGATTGCTTATTGCACTATATGATCCATGATACTTTAGTACTCCCAGTAAACTTTGCACTCATAGCCATGTGGTTTCTCCTAGAACCATAAATTCCCTTTTTTGGACATTAGCTTTCCTCATTCATGAAATGATAGAGTCGAAGAAGATTGTATTTTAGGTCCATTCCAGTTCTTCTATCCTTGACCTGATTAACCTTGTTTTTCATTCCTGCTTTATTTCTGAACTCCTTCTCTGCCAATGGTGTGATGTCAGGTCATACTAAGCCTCTGGTAAGACAAAAGATTTTCCCCCAGTGGGAGGAAGGAGGTACAAGTTGAGAGAAAAATTCCAGAAACCACTGCACCTACAAATGCAGCACAGTGAGCACCAAAGAAAATTTACCAACTCTTGTGTACATCTTTAATCAGTTTCTTCATGGTTGCTGCATTTAAAACTTCTTGGGTTTTTCTTACCTTAGAATGGTATAATTATAAAGGGTTCTAGCTTCCTTTTCCTTATTATCTTTTAATTACCTTTAAATTTTTCAGTCTGCTTGGATACAATCACACAACTCTGGGAAGTGCTGATTTACTGCAATCATTATATTTGCTCCTTTATCTCTTATTTAAATGAAACTGAGGGCCAAGAAATGATTAAATGGCTTACATGTGTTTCCTTTATCCGTATATATACTGGCTGGGTATTTGTATTGTATGAAAAAAGTATGAAAAACGGGATCAATAAAGTATGGAACTGGTTTTTTTTTTATTCCTTACTAGTTGCTGATATTTTTATTCCTTACTAGTTGCTGATATAGTTATTTATAATAACTAGTTCTAGGAGAAACCACATGGCTATGAGTGCAAAGTTTACTGGGAGTACTAAAGTATCATGGATCATATACTGCAATAAGCAATCAATCATTAATTAATAAGAATATATTTTTCAATCAAAATTTTTTTTCTCCCTACCATGTCCCTCACCCCCTCGAAAAATTACTTCTAGAAGAAGGAATTATGGTCAAGAACTTGATATAGTAGGGAAGGAATAAGAAACAATGGTAACCATCCATAAATGAAATTCTTGAATACAGGGAATAATCAAACTTTATAATAACTATTAAGTGAAATAGATGACCAGAGGTAGAAGGGATGACAATAGAGATTATCTAGTCCAAGGCTTTCATTTTGTAGAAGAGGAAAATGAGGTCCAGACAGGTAAGGTGATTTGGCCTAGGTCAAACATTTCAAAGATAAGTACTGTCTCCAAGGTTAATCCTCTACTTATCCCTATGGCTTTTCTAACAAGCATTTATTGAGCACCTGCTAGGTTACAGGAGTATTTTGTTGTGGTGGTTCAGCTATTTCAGTCGAATCCCACTTTTTATACTTGAGTATCTGAGGCTAGATTGGAACTCACAAAGATGAATGTTCCTGACTCCAGGTCCAGTACTCTATCCACTGAGCCAACTAGTTGCCATGAAAGAAATATAGGATCTGTTGGCTGCCCTCAAATTGCGCTCTCATGGCTGGGGCAATGCATATACAATAAGAAATCATCCTGGAGTCTTATTCTGCCTTCTTTTCTCATGTTGTAAACAAATACTTATCATACATCTATGATGTACAAAACATCAAACTTGGGACCAGGAATACAAAAGGCAAAACGGTTTCTGGCTTCAAGGAGCTTATATTCTATCCAGAGAAATAAACATGTATACACCTAGGAACACCTAGAGTAGATATATGGTAAATTGTACAACCTTTAATTGTATATGCACAGAGACAAACAGTAATTTGAAGAAGCACAAACACTAACAATTTGGGGGTGTGGTTGATAGTAAAGGCCAAGGGTCAAGGCTAGGGGAGGAGTTAGGTTTTCATGGAGATAGTAAGTTGAGCCTTGATGAAGATAAGGATTCTGAGTGACAGAAATGAGATAGAAGTGAACTCCAGGGGAGAGTGTCAGTAACACTTGTTCAAATGTTCAGAGAAGAAAGATAAGGTATGAAGTTTGGAGAATGGCAAATTAATAGACCAAGTTGCCCCATGTGAAAGAAAGTAATGTGAAATAAGACTAGAAAAGTGGGCTTATAGAATCTAGAATGAGGGAGCTCAAACTTGGACCCCAACCAAGAACATTTAGAGATTAGAGAGTCTTATTCTGAGGCATTCTTGTGCATGTAAAATGAAAAGGCCACACATTGCAATGGAAATGTCATTGGACTGGAGTTAGGAGGCCTAGGTATTCCTTAACCTCATGAAACAAAAGTCGCATTCCTTTAAAATGAAGGAGTTGGAATATGTAATCCTTAAAGTCCCTTCCAGCTCAAAAATTCTGTGTTCTATATTTTAAAGTCGTTCAGTTCTGAAATTCTGTAGCCACTGTTTTAAGGTCCTGCTGAGATCTAACATTCTACAAGAGCCATGTATAGCTCTCTTATTGGCTTGGGGGTATTATTCTATTCCTAAACTGTTAAACTGTTAACAGTTCATCAATGTACTGTACAAATGTCTGATTTCCCTACATACCCATGACAAAACCATGATGCAACACAAGTAAGGCTGAGTACAAAAGAAAACAGGCCCGTATTTCCAAATCCCAGTGCAATCTCACTAATTAACATAATCCCCTGGGCATGTTCAAAATTCCCCACTTGAATTGCTCCTTCTAGATATGTTTGAGTTATCAGATTAGGTATAAGTACCTCTTCAGCAGAGAATCTTTTGACCTTGGTGTCACCACGAGAATGCAATTTCTTCCACAGGTAGGATGAGAAAAATTGTATAACGCATTTGTATCTTAAGGTATGGTATTTTAATGTGCATAGCATTAGGAGTTAAAGGGATTTGCTCGGTAAACAACTGATGAGGAAGAGAAGACCTGGACTACAGGTCAGGAGCCAGCTTTCAGTCATGCCTGCCAATGACTGGGAAGGATGAGTTTTTCTCCTCTCTGCACTTTGGCCTGCTTGTCTGTAAAATGATGGACTGTATGCCATCTAATATCTCTTCTAACTCTCAAGTTTTGTGCTACTATTATCTTTAAGGCTATATGTACCTCCAATATTCAATGGAATGTCTCTAGGAATGGAAAGCAGGCAAAGAGAATATTTTTTCTTTATTTTCTTATAAAGTTTCTAGAACATTATTTATGTACTTATTTCATGGAACCATTAAAAAATAGATTTTGAGAAAGAAGGGACCATAGGGAATATCCAACCAATTCATTTTGAAAACAATTTTGCATTTGATAATGACAGTGGGCATTTCCATAGCATTTGACATTTACAAAGTACATTTCTCATCATAACATTGTGAGACAGGCTGTGTAGGTTTTCTGATTCCCATTTTACAAAAAGATGAAACAGTTTCAGAGAAGGCAAGTAGGTGGCCTAAACAGATAGAGTGGATCTCCAATATGCAGCCATTACTGTCCACAGGCTCTCCTCTAACACTCTCTTCTCAAGTAGCTCATGTCCCAAGCTCCTGTTTACTGTCTAATGCGAGCATTACCAAGGCCATGATACTTTTATAAACTGTTTCTGCTTAAATTATCAATAGATCTAAAGCTGGGTGACATTGGTGATCACCTAGTTCAACCCCCTATTTTGGCAAATGAATAAGTTGAGGTGCAGACAGGTTAAAAATCTTACCCAAGTAGTCACAGATAAGAAGCGACAAAACCAGGATTCACATCTACTTCTGGTGACTCACAGTTTGGTACTCTCTCCTATGATACATCTTATTAATGACTTTTTTTTTGGCTAGGCAATGGGGTTAAGTGACTTGCCCAGGGTCACACAGCTAGTGAGCGTCAAGAGTCTGAGGTCCAATTTGAACTCAGGACCTTCTGACTCTAGGACCAGTGCTCTATCCACTGTGCCACTGAGCTACTCCATATGAATGATTTTCAAATGGAAAAAAAAATTTAAATCTACTACATCATTCACTGATTCATTCATAGGGACAAGAGCTTTGCCTTCTGAACTAGCTTTCTCTTGTCAGTGTACTTATGGATTCTTCAAGATTAGTCTCTTCATATTCCTTCTAAATGATAATATTAATTCAGTGTACAACCTTGGGAAAGTTGCTTCATTTCTCTGGGTCTCCATTTCACCATCTTTCAAGTGAGGCATATCATCTCTATTCTGCCTTGCTTACTTGGGTCAAAAGATAATGAGTGCTCAAGTATTTATAAGGAGTTTAAAAGTCCAGCAAATTATATGTAGAATATATTTTTCAACAAGAACCCGAGTTTAAACTTACTTCTACATGACTTCAAACTTCTGGGAA